TTTTTTAACAACTATTTTTTTTTGAAATTGAATTCGAAATGAAATGACGATTGTTAATGTTCTGAAAATAAATTGATTTATGATTTACATTTGATTTGGTCAAATATAACAAGATAGCAAAAATAATGAAAGTTACAGTATTTGTAATAATATATTTGAAAACGTTTAAAATTTCTCGAATATTTCATTACGGTACGGGGAGTTCCAGCAATTTGCCTTGAGGCACGATGCCATACACCACTTATATTTATTTATATATTATTTCCAAGGAACAGGGTAAAATATTCTTCTGATTCAGGCATTTTTTATTAAATCAAGGTTTGTACTACTATGTAACTTTAAAATGCTTATTTATCTATGCAGATTTCCTTGTTGATATCGGTACGCATACAACCTTGATGCCGGTACGCATGCAACGACAGATCTCTATTCACATACACGACGACTAATCACAATCGACCCGTATAGAAATGATATCATCGAGAGCGAATGACTCTCACTTGACCTTGCCGTAACAATTTCCGTTCCATAAAAGAAAATATAAACAAAAATAAAATATAAATAAAAACACTCACCCCTGGGCGTCTGGATCTGCCAACCAGGTTTTCTTCAGATGAATTGGCAGTTTTGGAAGCACCATCTTGCACTAAGTCACTTTTAACTACATTGCTATCTACAATTTGATAATTTGAGCTAAAGTTTTTGTCACTGGTTTGAGCATTGTTGGTCCCTGAAGTACCGGCAGTGATAGTAAATGAATCTGGCTTATTCTCATTATGGGATGGCGTTAATTTGTAGTCGAAACGTTTGGGCGATACATTACCATCGTCTCCGAATCGTTTGGGAGACATGCCTTGTTTTGGCCTAGATTTGCTGCACAAGTTCAAGCGCTCGCTGGATTTTTCCGAAGACTCCGAGGCAGTGCTTTTGGGTGAAGACAAATCAAAGTTGAATTTATCTTTGGTGAACAATTTGGTTCTGCTAACTAGTTTCTCGATTGGCGATTTTGGATTAGAGTAACCAGATTTTGATGGGGCATCATCTTGAGGTGCTTTGGTGGTGGATTTTTTACCATCCAGGTCTTTGCTGGATACACCTACAGCTTTGTTTTTGGTGAACCTTCCAACGTACGTTGGCGATTTTGGAAGACCTGATGTATCGACTTGTTTACTTGAGAAAAGTCTTTCGTTTTCCAAAGATGTCGTCGATGTCGACTTGTCTCCTGTTGCCTGTTGGCGAAGTCTTGAGACTCTTGTTGTCCTGACACGAGGACTTTGATCAGGGTCATCGTTCCTGGGACGCGGTGAACGTTTTGATGATATGGCACTTGAGATTCTGAAAAAAAAAATTTTAAAAAATATATAATATTACTACCATAGAACAAATACGATTTACTCTGAGTGTTTATTTATATTTATATTTATATTCATATTCATATTCATATTCATATTTATAAAGCGGAAGCAATTGCTAATGTATTTTATAAAGTTCATAAACAAAATGATAAATTAGGTCAGTATCATTTAGAATCGGCAGTGACCAGTACATTAAATAACTACTTCAAAAATAAAACTCCTTTCAAAAATTCAAGTTTGTAGGCTAAACCTATAAACATTCTTAATATCATCAAAAAATTGAAAAACCGAAAGGCTCCAGGTCCGGATTCAAGTCAAAATATAATATTAAAAATGTTACCCAGGAAAGGTATAATATTCATAACAAAATTAGTTAATGCTTTACTTGACTTAGGTTACTTTCCTACTGTATGGAAGATTTCAAACATTTTGCCTATATTAAAACATGGTAAACCTGCAGATAGACCTTCAAATTATAGACCTATAAGCCTGCTAAATTCTATAAGTAAAATTATAGAAAAATATATACTAAAACTTAACAACAAACTAAGGAAGGATAATATTTTACCGCCATTTCAATTTATATTCATATTTATATTTATATTTATATTTATATTTGTATTTATATTTATATTTATATTTTTATTTATATTTATTTTTATTTTTATTTTTAGTTGTATTTATATATTTATATATTTATATTTATATATCACAGATGGCGCTAGTGTGCTTCAATTTTAGCATTTGTTTTAAAACTCTAGATATAGTACACATACTTTAAACGTTGAAGTACCAATTTTATATGTTGAAATATATCTTTTTTGAATGATTGAAATTTGAATTTTGGCTTGAAAATACAAAAAAATTACCCAGGCTGAGCACAGTCTAAGCGCCACTCTGGTACAAATGTTTACCCAAGTGCGTTTAGACTGTTCATGAACTGGAGCAGTTTTCCAATTTTGTAAAAACTATTGAAAAATGTGAAAATGCCGCCAAGCTAAGCGCAGTACAAGTGAAAATGTCGAACAGAATTATTTGCAAATGCGTTTAGACTGTGACTATACGGGAGCACTTTTTCAATTTTGTGTAAATTAGGCAACTATTTTTTTTTTTTGAAATTGAATTCGGAATGAAATGACGATTGTTAATGTTCTGGAGAAAAATTGATTTATGATTTACATTTGATTTGCTCAGATACAACAAGATAGCAAAAATAATGAAAGTTACATTATTTGTAATAATATATTTGAAAACGTTTAAAATTTCTCGAATATTTCATTACGGTACGGGAAGTTCCACTAATTTGCCCTAAGGCACGATGCCATACACCACTAGTTTCTCATATTTCTTTTATTTTCGCGTATATTTTGTTCCCATTTTATTTAGTCAAAATAATCAGGTTTATCTTTTCTATATTATCTTATATATATAAAATTCTTCTATAATGATGTATGTAAGGATACTCTTCCTGAATGATTATTCGGATTTTGATAAATCTTTCTGCAGTTTGTTAAGGGATTTTTTAGAATTTTTTGATTTATAGAAATATAGTTAGATTGTAGAAATAAATGCAAAAAAATACAAAAAACAGCGCAATACAATAAATGCGCTTTACTATGTATGAGTGTTTTCAGCATATCACAGATGGCGCTTTGTTTGACATTGGAAATATTTGAGGCGTTGTTTGGCATTGCAAATAAATGAAGACTGTCATCTTCAATTCTTCTGTACGGGTGTATGTCGAGATACTCTTCTTAAACGATTATTCGAATTGTGATAAATCCTTCTGAAGTTTGTTAAGAGAATTTTTAGGATGTAAATGATTATAAAAGTATAGTAATATTGTAGAAATAAATGGAAAAACTGCAAAAATGTCAGAGATACTTCTAAAGGATTATTCAATTATTGATAAATTTTTCTGAAGTTTGTTAAAGAATTTTTTTAGTATGTATATGATTATAAAAATATAGTAATATTGTAGAAATAAATGGAAAAAATGCAAAAAACGCCAGAGATACTCCTCCTAAACGATTATTCGAATTTTGATATATCTTTCTGAAATTTGTTAAAGGAATTTTTTAAGATGTTTGATGGTTTCACGTGGCTGATTTGAATTTCACAGTATAATTAAAGAGTTAAGTGTGGGTTCCAGAGACTCGACATTTTATTTAAAGCAGTTGTACATTTAAGATCACTCATATGGATCTATATACATTTCGGTATAAACTGCAGTGTAAAAAACATTAATGATAAATATTAGTGTAGGTTATTAAAAACAATTGGAACTTTTGAATTATAGACATGTGTATAGGACAACATCTGTCGGATCATCTAGTATTTATATAAATCTTATCCAAGAATTAAACTTAAGGGTAAATTTACGTGCTACGGTCGGTGGCGCCATCTATGATATACTAAACAAATTAAACACGCCATCTTCTATATATATAAGGTTGTCAAATATCTCCCATCCGCCTTTTTGTATTATAAACCAAGAGCAAAAAAGCGGAAGGGAGATATTTGACAACCTAATATAAAAATAAGTCGGGTTTTTCTTCCTGACGAAATAACTCAGACAGAACGCACGAACCGATTTCGACAATTTTGCATTCGTTGGAAAGGGCTCCGCAAGGTTTATAGCTAAGAAAATTAGTGGTGCATGGCATCGTGCCCTAATGCAAATTGCTGGAACTTCACGCGCCGTAATTAAAAATTCGAGTAATGACATTAGTGAGAATTATCAGAATTATGCTTGGTTAAGTCAACTAGCAATTCTTGCCGCCAAGAATAATGATGTACACGCACTGAATTTCACCATTCAATCAAAAATTGCTGGCGATTTGGTGACATACCAACGATTCCGACTGGTCTTCCGTTTGACTTCAAACGATTGCAATTTCCAGTTCGCCTTGCGTTTGTAATAACAAGTCGCAAGGCCAATCGCTTGGTGTTTGCGGGATAAATTTCAAATAGATTATTTAGAAAATCATTGTTTTTCACATGGGCAGTTGTACGTTGCCTGTTCACGAGTTGGAAAACCATACGCTTTGTTTGTGTTAACGTCAGACCAAAAAACAAAAAATGTGGTTTACCAAAGAGCACTTCAATGAAACGGATAATTTGCGGATTCACTTTCATTTACTTAGAGAAGTTCAACTAAAAAACACTTCATTTTTGTAATCGAAATAAATTCATTACTGTTGTATAATAAAATCAAATTTTTTCCTTTTCAAATATAAAACAAACAAAAAATTTCTTCATCTTTCTCACGAAACCATCTGGTGGCGAAACGGAGTTCGTCGGGTTTGCTAGTATATATATATATATATATATATATATATATATATATCTATTATCACCTGTTTAGTTCCCCAGCAGCATTTTTCTCTCTATCCAGTACTGCAGCCACTCCCTCCCGGAGCTGCTGCCTGCGCAGCTCCTTATACCGAGCGATTCTCTGCTCCGGTGTATCACCTGCAGCAGCAGCAGCAATTGTACTTTGCTGCTGGTGCTGATTTTGCTGTTGGTCTGTCTTCGCAGCCGCAGGCGTCGTGTTTGTAGAAGACGACGGAGACATGAGAGATGGTGCGACTGTGGCGCCCCTGGTGGTGGTGGTCGTTACTATAGTCTTGTTCTTGTCGTTGACGATGGTGCTGTTTGACATTGGCCGCGGCGCAGCGACCAGACAGCATGGCCGCTCGCAGTGGCAGCATAAGATGGTAACTAGAAATAAAAATAGGTAAATAAATTTTTTTGGTAATTGTAGGTGAATACAATAATTATTTTAAATTTTAGTTCAAAATTATGGTCAATTTTTGTAAAACGCTGTACTATAATTTTTAGCAAGTACGCTTCATTTTTAGCTAAATAACTATAATTATTAAATTTTTGGGAAATCATAGCTAATTTATATGACATTAATTGTTCATTTTTTCAAATAAACATAATATTTACTAATCATAGTTATATTTTCATAACTATAGTTACTTCTTGCTAATTATATTTTAGTTTGGCATTTGTATTTCTTTTTGGGAACTTTAGTCGATTATACATAACTGTTACTAATCATAGTTCATTTCTGTCAATTGTAAAAATTATAGTTAATCTTTGCTAATTATAGTAACTTGTTATTAATTAACTTCCCGTAGGGTAAGTTATTGTAATGGACCAAAAATCGGAATTGAAAATTTTTACATTTCTCGACGTTTTGAAGGTTTCTGAACGTTTTGGCATAGTTTGAAAAAATTGATGTGTGTGTGTGTGTGTGTGTGTATGTATGTATGGATACAAATTTTCGCCCACGTTTTCGGGCGTACGGATCAACCGATTTAAATGATTCAAAAAGCATTCGATTCCTATTGACAGGGAAAAGAGCTGATTAGTTTTTGGCGAAGGCAGGTCCAGCCGTTTCGGAGATACGGAGCAAAGAGTGCAGAAAATAGAAATCGAGTTTTTGAGTGAACGGAGCATCCGATTTGAATGATCTAAAAAACATTCAATTAGTAATGATTGGGAGAAGGGGTTATTAGTTTTTCGCAAAGGCAGGCCCAGCCATTTCGGAGATACAGAGCTAAATGTACAAAAAATGGCAGTTTTTGAGAGAACTAAGCGTCCGATTCAATTGATTCAAAGAACTTTCTGCTTGTCTTAACAAAATAATTGATTTTGGAAAAAAAAATTTTGTTCCATTTTTTTTTTTTTTTTAATTTTTAATTTTTTGTATATCGAAAATAATTCAGATTTTATTTTTAATTTTGACTATAGTTTTAATATACTTTAAACAAATAATTTCAACTCTGCAATTCAGTTGATATAATTCTTATAAATATTAGACAATGTTACAATATTTATAATAATCTATTAGAAAACATTCAATATTCCTCGAACATTTACGGTACGGGAAGTTCCAGCAATTTGCCTTAAGGCACGATGCCACCCACCCCACTAGTTACATATTATTTTGGCAATTGTAACTTTAGTTAATCAAAACACTTTTGATAACTTTAGTTAATTTTTGTCAATTTCAGATATTTTTTCTAATAAAAGTTAATTTTTGCTATTGTTAGCAAACATATATTTCCGTTTTTGTCAATTATTGTTATCTTCTGGCAATTTTAGTTAATTTTTAACGATTATAGTTCATTTCCGGCAACTATGGATAATAGTTTTGTCAACTAGAGTTCATATTTTGGCAACTAAAGTTCATTTTTAAATATTACAGGCTTTTATAGGTAAATATAGTCCCCTTTGAAAATGTATAGTTTGTTATAGGCAACTATATGTTGTTTTTGAAAAATATAGATCCTTTTCGGCAACTATGGATAATAATTTTGTCAACTAGAGTTTACATTTTGGCAACTTAAAGTTTATTTTTAAAAATTGCAGGCTTTTATAGATAAATATAGTCCCTTTCGAAATTGTATAGTCTGTTATAGGCAACTGAAATTTTTGGCAAATGTAGTTCATTTCCGGCAACTATAGTTGAAAATTAAAGATCATTTTTTGACATCTATCTGATATTTTTTAATAATTGCTGACTTTTAGATTTAAATATAGCTTTTATTTTTAGACTTACTATAACTATATTTCATTTATGATGAATATAGTTTATTTCCAGCAACTATAGTGCATTTTTTGCCAACTAGAGTTCATTCCTGACTTCTGGAATTTCTTTGACTTCTGTCTGATAATTTCCATAGTTGTAGACTTTTAGAGGTAAATATAGTTTTTATTTTTAGACTTGATCTATTATAAGCAACTATATTTCATTTATGATGAATATGGCTCAATTCCGAGCACTACATTTTATTTTCTGGCAACTAGAGTTTATTTTTTGGCAACTAAATGATGTTCCTAATAATTGCAAACTTGTAGAGTATTAAAATAAGAATAAAATCTGTTATAAGCAACTATAGTTGAAAACTTTGGCAAAAATTTTAGCTACAATTTATTTTTAGTAACTATAATTTATTTTGAAACGACTAGAGTTCATTTTTTGGCAACTATATGATATTCTTAATAATTGCATACTTGTAAAGTTAAATATAGTTCTTTTAGCAATGTATCTCCTGTTATTAGTAATTATAGTTAAAAACTTTGGCAACTAGAGTTTATTTCTGATAACTTTATTTTAGTTTGTGACAACTAGAGTTCATTTTCTTTTACAACTACAGTTTATTTTTAAATTTGTGGACTTTTATAGTAATCTTTACCCTGTTATATGCAACTATAGTTGAAAATTTTGGCAATTATAGTTGTAACTATAACTTATTTTGTGACAACTAGAGTTCATTTGCATTTGAAGAGTTTTTTAATAGTTAATTATAGTTCTTTTTAGCAATTTATACTCTGTTATGTGCAAATATATTTTTTTTGGCAACTAGAGTTCATTTTTGGTAACTATAATTAAAATTTGTGATAACTAGAGTACATTTTTAAAAATTGCAGGCTTTTATTGTTGAATATAGTCCCCTTCGGGAATGTATATTTTATTATAGACATCTGTACTTAATTTTTGGCAAACATAGTGCATTTCCGGCCACTAGAGTTAATGTTTTGGCAACTATAGTTCATTTAGAAAAATCTCATACTGTTGATTTCTGTTTTATATAACTAAAATTATTATTTTAGGCATTTGTGGTAACTATAGTTCATTTTTAGTAAAAATAACTTATATTTTGACAACTAGAGTTCATTTTTAAAATCTGCAAGCTCTTACAATTAAATATAATTCTTCTCAAAAATGTATAGCCCGTTATTTTTAACAAAGATAAATAATCTCTGGCAACTAAAAATATTCTTATGTAACTAGAGTGCATTTTGAGCAACTAAAGTTCATTTGTGGCAACTACAACCTCAGTACATTTTTATTAACCATAGTTCATTATTTTTATAACTAAAGTCTATTTTATAAAAAAATCATTTTAAGAATTATTAGTTCACTTCTGGCAAATATGGCTCATTTTTGTTAATTATAGTCAAAATACTAGAGTTTACTTTCGACAACTATAGTTCATCTTTGAAAATTATAGACAAATTTAGTTGGGTTTTGGAAACAATAATTTAATTATCATCCACGGTAATTATAATCTTTTGTAGTTAAAAATAATAAATTTTGGATAACTATAGACCATTTTAAGAAACTATAGTTCATTTATGTACCAACTGTGTGTTTGTATGAAACTTTCTTAAAAAAAATACGCCTGAATACCTTGCCACAATTTCCACAACGAAACTCTAGAAACAAATCCAGGCGCATTATAAAAAACAATTTCAAACAATGCAATGTTATAACAAATTCTTATTTATCTATTATAATTTAAACAATTCGCAAAGGTGTGCGAATTACTAGTGTAAATTTATTTTAAACATCGTATAAAATAACATAAAGACGTCACAATGGTTTTCCTCCTCCATATATTGATTCCATTCAATATTTACAATAACAATATTAATGGTAAATAAATAACATTGAGGAATATTTACAATTGGCAATCATGAGAACAGACGCAGTTTATAATAATAATAATAATAATAGTTATATATATACACATATAAATATACACATATATATATATATATATATATATATATAAATATATAAATTATAATTATATACTCAAAGCTTATGTATTATTTATTATTCGACTATTTTTCAAGTCAGGTTGAAATGTCGGCAGGTTAAAATTATTTACATAAATAAATAATTTATATGTCCTATTTTATGTCGCCTTGACAAACACTGTCCTGTTTAATATAATTATAATAATAATTATATAATTATAATAATAATAATTAAAATATTCTCATTATTAAAAAATAATCAAATTACAAATGCGTTGATGAAGTGTTCAGAAAATCCTTTTTCCTCAATAATTTTATAGTTTTAGTTAAGTAATTCTGAATCGTTTGACTTCAAAATTGACTAAATAAAGTGTGTGTGTATGTGTGTGTGTGTGTGTGTAAATATGCATATCGATGTGTATTGATGAGGTTCATTATCCGACCTCGATAATGTTTGTTGATTTTTTTAGCCGCGCCTATTATTGTAATATTCAAATGGATACTTTTACTATTGATTGTATATATATATATATATATATATATATATATATATATATACTAGATAACCCGACAGACGTTGTCCTGTACCCACGTCTACAATTCAAAAGTTCCAAATTTTTTAATATCCTATCCTATGCTTTTTAATATCCTATTCAAATGTTTAATAGTACTCAAATGTTTTCAAAATTAAACAATGATAAGTGTTTTTTTTGTAATTTTTGCTATTCATGTCTACAATATTACTTTAGTTTTATCGTTCATTAAATCTTAAAAATTTCCTTTGACAAACTCCAAGAAGAATTATCAAAATCCGAATAGCCGTTGAAATATTGACTTAAGCCTTATTATAATATTAAAAATTATATCGACGGCTTGTAAAATTAATAAATAAATAATAAATAAATAAATAAATAGTAGAAGTAATTTTATATATAAGATTATATATATATAACATATATATATATATATATATATATATATATATATATATATATATATGTATGTATATATGTATGTATGTATAGTGATGTGCCAAGTCGAATCAAGTGAATCGAATCATTCGAATCAAGCCTTTAACGACTTGATTCGAATCAGATTTTACTTGATTCGAATCAACTCGTATCAAGCCGCGAAATATTTACTGTGATAAAATATGTATTAACACAAATTTTTCATAAATATAAAATTTTTCGTAAATATAAATATAAAAAAAATGTTTTAATTTAATTCAATATTATAATAATATGAAAAATAAATATCATAAATATAAAAAATAAATAATGAATTAAATCATGCGAGCCACCCGACTTTAATATGCTTAAATGTATCGGCCGACTCCTATCGTCTTTATATGCTTTAACCGCATTCATCGACTAACTATATCATTCGACTTCATACGGCTCAAACCGAATCAAGCGACGATATGAGTTGTTCCGACTTCATGACTCAAACCGAATCAAGCGGCGATATGAGTTGTTCCGACTTCATATGAGCCAACTCGAATCAAGCGGCGATATGAGTTGTTCCGACTTCATATGAGCCAACTCGAATCAAGCGGCGATATGAGTTGTTCCGACTTCATATGAGCCAACTCGAATCAAGCGGCGATATGAGTTGTTCCGACTTCATATGAGCCAACTCGAATCAAGCGGCGTTATGAGTTGTTCCGACTTCATGAGCCAAACCGAATCAAGCGGCGTTACGAGTTATTCCGACTTCAATTCTGATTCGAATCATCCCGACTTCAAGCCGTTCGAGCGATATGAGTTCAAGCGATATGAGTTAACCGTATGGGCGATACAATGCGTCGTCGTTCTTGCGTGTTTATTTATTTTACGGAGCGCTGAGAGCGATTTTATTCGTGAAATATCAATACCCAATTTTGATAATAATTAAGTGTTTTAGATCTTAAATGTTATCAGAATAAACCACTCGAAATTATGAAACGAGTTTCGGGAATCTTTCAATATAATTCTCTTTTGAAACAATTACTAAACACCAGAAAGTCAGTAAATAATATGTTAACTTCTAATTATGTAAGTAATGGCAAATTCACATTAATTAAATTAACGTTCAGCTCTCAGTTTAGATGCGATCCTTTACTGATTACATAGTAAAATAAATAATCGACCCATTATTCCAAATATTATTTTATATACTTTAGTGATGCACAATTGTTTGGTAATCTATTATGGTAAATTAATTTGAAGATATGTTTCAGCCGTCTTCAAAATTATATCATTTTTAATCATTTTCAAAATATACTTTTTGATAGTAATTTATGATTACAATTTCTACTTTGTCGGTTATATTGGTTAAACTGACAATTTTGATTATAAATTTGGATCACTTTTACTAAATTAATACATCCATGATTTTTTTTGTCCATATATATACTTGATTCGAGTTGATTCGAATCATGATTCGAATCAGGTTTTTTTCTGATTCGAATCATTCGAATCAGGAATTTTTCGAGTCGGCACATCACTAGATGTATGTATAAATGTCCATGTATATATTTATAAATGATTATTCTATTTTATTATTTAAATTATCCAAATCGAGAACACGTATCGAATAAAATATTCAGTAACAAAATTCTTGACAACTTTTATATATGGATAGATTAATAAATATTTAAACAATCTGTGTCATTCGCATTCGCATTCGTTTGATGTTATTTGAAGATTTAAATATTAAATTAGTCACTATTTATAATAAGACACACACACACTTTTAATATTTCTCTAAAATTAATAAAATTCAAAATTCATAAATTTTTCACAGGTCATTAGGTTTTTTCCTTAAGAATTATAGAGAATAGACAAAAATTATGAAATTTTCAAAAATTGAACTGCAATTTTTCTAAATTTTACCCAAATGATAGAAAATTGACAAATTTTACAAAAAATTCACAAAAATGATAAAAAGAAGGCAAAATCAATACAATTTCTCTAAATGATAGAAAATAAAGAAAATCTATAAAATTTCCCCAAATCTCCCTAAATTTAAGGAAATGAGCAATAAATCTCCCAAAATCTATAATAAAATTTGCAAATGTCCCTATTTTCTTTCAAAAATAATAGAATATAGGCAAAATCTATGAAATATATTTAAATATCTCAAAAATTGTAGAATATAAGCAAAACCTATGAAATTCCACAGAATTTTCATAAATTTATTCCAAAAATGATAGAAAATAGGTAAAATTTATGCATTTAACCCAAATTTTCCTCAAAAATTATAAGAAATAGATACAATTTATAAAATCGTTCAAACAATTCTTCGATTTTTTGCAAAAATGTAAGATCAGCAAAATCTATAAGATGCCACCAACTATCCATAAATTAACCCCAAAATTGATAGAAAATAGGCAAAATTTATACATTTTTCCCAAATTTGCGCAAATTTTGTCCAAAGATAATACATAATAATAATATAATACATAATAATAAGCAAAATCTACAAAATTTTCCCAAGTTTTCATATTTTTTTCCAAAAATGATAAAATATAGACAAAATATATAAATATTTACAAAATTTTCGATTTTTTCAAAATTTACTCCAAATGATAGAAAATATGTCAAATTTACACATTTTTCTCAAATTCGCCTAAATTTTCCCCAAAAATTTAAAGAAATAGATACAATTTATGAAATTGTTCCAAACATTCCTAAATTTTTCCCAAAAATTTCACAAAATCAATTCAATTCAATTCACCCCAAATGATAGAAAATAGGGAACATTTATTTGCAAATTTCAAATTTGCGTAAATTTTGCCCAAATGTATATATGAATTTAATATAAATTTGTGTTGAGCTCCGAACAAAAATCCGAATAAAAATAATATTTTCTAAAAACATGTTATTAATTTGCTACGTTCAATCTTCTAGCAAATTTGATATATTTTCGTTTTTTAAAATACAATTAATATAGCAATTACGTAACTAAGTAACCCCTAGTAAAATATTAGAAAATAGTCTACAATATATTTTAGTTTGATATGTTCTAGTTTTTTGTAATTTTTGGCTAGAATCACCAACATAAATCAAGTTACAATTCGAACAGTTAATTTAATGAACCAGATTTGTAAGAGGTTCGATATTGAAATAATTCCTATTTCTTATTTAAGTTTTTAAATTTAATTTCAGTTTCACTAATTGAAGGTTAGGACTATAAGCGAAACGTATGGATTTTAGAATATTTTTTTGAATAAAATATATAAAATAGTCTATAATATGTTTTAATTTATTAAAGTGTTCTATAAGCATACTTAAAGTAAGTGGATTTATTAAATTTTGGCTAGATTCTCCGACATAAATCAAGTTACAATTCGAACAGTTAATTTAATGAACCAGATTTGTAAGACGTTCGACATTGAAATAATTCCTTTTTCTTATTTACGTTTTTAAATTTCAGATCTTCTAAATGAAGGCTGGGATTGTAGCCGAAACGTATGGATTTTAGAATAATTTTTTGAAAAAAACATGTTTTAGCCGCATTACACTAGACTCTGTCAATATGTATAATTCTACATGTGTTCTGTATGAAGTAGATCACTGAAGTGTTTTATTTTAGTCAATTTTTTTTAAAATTATTTATGATTTAAATATTTTGAAGAATTGAGATTTTTAATATTACCTATAACCTAAGTTGGATATATGAGCACAAGATGAGCCAAAAAAAAACAAAATCGGTTCAGTAGTTTAGGAGTCTATTCAGGACAAACATTGTACTTCATATATATATATATATATATATATATATATATATATATATATATATATATATATATAAGATGTTCCAATATTCAAAATGTAACTGAATATTGTTATATCGATAATGAATAATTATGAATCATTAAAATGGCAAACGACACATTCTGAGAACTGCAAGATAATCTTTTCCAAGTTTATATATATACATATACATATATACATAGTATGTATATATATATATATATATATATATATATATATATATATATATATTACATACATTCACAAAATGTGTGGTGACTCATGGGAAATATATTCGTTTCCGAACGGTTTCAAATGTAAATATAATATTTTGACTGAATTTTACGATAATATAAACCCCATTAATAAATTGAATTATATATATATATATATATATATATATATATATATATATATATATGTGTGTGTGTGTGTACATATTTAATTTAATTTAAACTTACTGAATTAATAAATAATTATCTTCTAAACACACCTTGCTTTTAGCACCTACGTGTCCATTTTGTCTGAAACGAAAACAAGAATATATTATAAATAAATACATACATAAATTTGTTATATATATATACATATATATATTTATATATATATATATATATATATATATAATATTACAAATATGTACGCTTCTATGATCTATTCCTACAAGGACCGATTTAAGCAAAGACATTAACCTGTGGTTTTCATCTTTGCTTTACTTGTGGTTGAAAAATATGATATTTGTAAAAAAAGCCAAAAATAATGAAATTATTATTTTAAAAAATTATGTGCAAATATATAAGATTGATTTAAAAAATTAGAATTCAACCTATTAGTTAACAGTTTTCATTACATCCAGGTCCAAAAATTAAAAAGATTCGCATACGTTTCGAACACCAGTCTGACAAAATCTTTAGTGTTTAAAAATGCAAATAATTCAGAGAACACTTGAACAATAAATAAGATTCACTTTAAGTTTGAAAATTTACACTAAAATTAAATATCATACAAGTAATAATTAAAAAAATATCATGTGGCTATTTTTAAAAAAATATTAATTCTTGTATGCAATTTTTTTCTCATTTCTATGCCAAGTTTTTGTCCTATTTCAATTTTTTTTTACAAATGTCGTAATCTAGAATGATTCAATCATGATCTAATGTTTAATTATGTAACATTGTTGCTTTTTTATTCAATTCTGTGGGAAAGTAGATCTTGAGATTCTTGCAAAATACTTTCACACTGGCAAATTCGTGAATTTATTAGTAAAAATTAAATAAACTCTAGTTGTGTTTGGCCTACAAAAATTTACAGGAATTGCAGATGAATAAAAAAAAATTAATTTTTAAAAGTGTGATATCATACTGCTTGGTATCAAGCTTCGCAAAATTGGGATCCGGGAAATGCAAGTGTAAGCTACAAGGATTTATAGAAATAAAAATTCCTCAAAAATAAAAAAACAAAATTGCCACAATCAAGACAATTTTTTTCATAGAATTTTATCATTTTTGAAAAGTCAATATAATTTTTATCTAATTTTAATCTATTTTTTTTTTCAAAATTTTGATAGTTTTCATAATATCAATATGTTACTAATAACGTTATAAATTATTGATAAATTATAATTAAAACAAATCCAAGATGTCTCCTTATAAACAAAACGTGATTATGAATCATGATTCCGTACATTAACAAATTTGGCAGTGCAGAGGCGTCCACTTTTACAAAGTGGCTAAAGTCTAAATACTTGAGAAAATATAATAATTTTTATACAAAAACACTTCTTATAGGCCTATAATATTTTGCCAATCTTGCAATGACCCATTAATTAATTTGAAAATAAAATAAAATTTGAAGCAAGTGTTAATAATGTTGCACTAAAATTTTAATTGTTAATCATTAAATTTCAAATCATTTAATAGTATGTATATAATATATAACACAATTTAATTAATCTTTAACAAAAACGGAAACGGAAGTTCCACAAAAAGATAAGGATAACGAAATAATTCCATGAAATTATAAATTTCGAAAATATTGAAATGAATGATCCATAAAATTTATTATTGTTTCTTACAAAATTTAATACAAAGCCTATAATTAAGATAAGATAAGATATTTGTCTCTTGAAGACAATTTTGCATTAAAGCAATAACTTGCATAAACTTTCGTAATTAATCGATTTAATTATTAATAAGTTGATTTCTATTTTATCTATCTAACTACCTGTCTACCAATAATTATAAGTCAAATGTATTTTAAATCGTTCAAATCGGACGCACCGTTTTCTCAAAAACTGCATTGCCATTTTCCAGCACTTTTTGCTCCGTATCTCCGAAACGACTGGACCTGTCTTCACCAAACACTAATCATCAACTCTCCTTATCAATAAATATCGAATGATTTTTGAATCCTTCAAATCGGTTGAGCGGTGCTCAAGAAATCAACGATGGAAGATTGTATCCGCACATGCATACACATAAACATGAATAATTTTTATTAAGGAATTTTTTTTGCATCTCCAAAACAGCTAAACCTGCCTTTCAAAAAATGTAACCAATTTTTCATTACGTCAATACAAGTCAAATGTAATTTGAATCATTCAAATCGGATGCTCCGTTCTCTCAAAAACTGAATTCTATGTTATTAGCTATGTACTATGTACTATGTTCCCCACTTTTTGCTCCGTACCTCCGAAACGTCAAGACCTGCCTTTTACAAAACCTAACCAGCACGTCTCCCCATCAATACAAATCGAATGTAATTTGAATTACTCAAATCGGTTGAGCCGTTCTCCCAAAATCAACGATACAAGATTGTATCCACACATACATACAAACACACACATGCATTTTTTCTAACAAGAAGAACCGTACTTTTCAAAGTGATATATCTTTAAAACGATGGCTCTGAGGAAAAAAAGTATTGATACATTTTTTGTAGATAATTTTATGCTCTACAATTTTGTTTCAGGTGATTTTGCGATAAAACTTACCATTTTGCTAAAAATCGCAAAATGATCATTTTTTTGACTTCTGACCTTGTCAATTTTTTAGCTCTCACCGCAACGATGAGGACTATTGAGACTTCTTTTATAAATGTATTTTAAACAATTTTACCAAGTTACAGGCTATTATGAATTATTGTAACCTTGAATGCGTAAATTGACCAGACTATATGACGACTAACATAGGCCTTATAATATATAAACCAATTTTAACAGGTGGATTCGATTTTATGTACATTAATAATAAAATTAATAACATTTCTTACAGACTTATCCACCATCACAAATACCATTATATCATTAAAATAAAACATACGTCATATGAAATTTAATCAATCGGGAGAGTCCGCGATTGTCGTCGGCAACGTTCGCTCAGGCATGCGACGTCACACAGTCCCTTCGATGCTTGAGCACTTATTTTACGCTCGACTAGCAGTCCATGTAGTATAAGGTCTATGACTAAGCCTCGTACGTGTTTTATAAAAAGATCTTCTATCTAGACCGAACAAATATTTTCATTACACCCCTGCAGCAAATTTCAATCTCATCATCATCATCACTAGTAAATACTGATCAATCAATCAGTCAGTCAATCCTGTGTCTTGTTAATTAGTTAATTAACATATCGCATGCGGCGCTGTTTCAATTATATTATTGGCAAATCTGCTGATTTCTAACTCTGAATACTATTTTATGCAAAATCTGTTAATTATGGAAAGTGGTCTCGTTCGCGATTTTGATTACCAATGACTTTTAATTAACTGATACCATAGACCTTATAAATACATGGACTGCTAGTCGAGCGCAAAACAAGTGCTCAAACATAGAAGAAGATTGTGACGTCACATGTCTGAGCGAACATTGCCGACGACAATCGCGGACTCTTCCGATATACTTTCTGATAATGTCATATGTCGTATGTTTTATTTTAATGATATAATGGCATTTGTGTGGACTGATGATTTTGTAAGAAATGATATTAGTAATATTTTCCATGTGAAATGAATGTACATAAAATGGATCCCACCTGTTAAAATCGATTTATATATTATACTAGCTGACCCGGCAAACGCTGTTTTGCTAAGTACGGTATATTCTAAACAATTTCTAGAGAATCAAAATCATATTAATACTTTAAGTGTATAAGGATGTGAAGTTTGAATGCTATTATATATACAATGAGGTATTATAAAAACAATAAACCCCATTAGTTTGTCTAAATCTTGTCAATACAATCAAACTGGAAGTTTTATACACTTTCTATAAAAATCATGGTATAATCCAATCCAAGTTTCTTGGTCTTTCGACTTCAAGTTTTTAACTTCCCGTAGGGTAAGTTATAGTAATCGTCCAAAAATCGAAATCAAAAATTTTTACATTTCTCGACGTTTTGAAGGTTTCTGAACATTTTGGCATACCTCAGAAAAAATGGATGTGTGTGTGTGTGTGTGTGTGTGTGTTTTGTATGTCCGCTTTTTTTCGTCCGCGTTTTCGGGCGCACGGATCAACCGATTTGAATGGTTTAAAAAACATTCGATTCCTATTGATAAGGAGATGTGCTGATTAGTTTTTGACAAAGGCAGGTCCAGCCGTTACGGAGATATGGAGCAAAGAGTGCAAAAAATAGAAAGCGAGTTTTTGAGAGAACGGATCAACCGATTTGAATGGTTTAAAAAACATTTAATTCCTATTGATAGGGAGATGTGCTGATTAGTTTTTGGCAAAGGTAGGCCCAGCGGTTTCGGAGATACAGAGCTAAATGTTAAAAAAATGGCAGTTTTTGAGAGAACTAAGCGTCCGATTTAAATGATTCAAAGCACTTTCTACATGTTTCAACAAAATTATTGATTTTGGAAAAAAAAAATTTTTGTTTCGAATTTTTTTTTCAAAAAAATTTTTTTGTAATTTTGGATTAAAAATTCAAAAAATCACCCAGACTAAGCACAGTCTAAGTGCCACTCTGGTACAAATGTTTACCCAAGTGCGTTTAGACTGTTTATGTACTGGAGCACTTTTCCAATTTTGTGAAAATTATTGAAAAATGTGAAAATGCCGCCAAGCTGAGCACAGTATAAGTGAAAATGTCGCACAGAATTATTTGCAAATGCGCTTAGACTGTGACTATGCGGGAGCACTTTTTCAATTTTGTGTAAATTTGGCAACTATTTTTTTTTAAATTTGATTCGAAATGAAATGACGATTGCTAATGTTCTGGAGATGATAAATTAATTTATTTATAATTAACTTTCCGTAGGGTAAGTCGTAGTAATCGCAAAAAAATCGAAAATGAAAATTTTTATATCTTTACGTTTTAAAGGTTTCTGAATATGTTGGCATACCTTAGAGAAAATTGATGTATGTGTTTGTGTATGTGTGTGTGTGCGTGCATGTGTGTGTGTTCGGATACAAATTTTCGTCGACGATTTCGGGAACACGGACGATGCAATTTGAATAATTCAAAAAGCATTCGAATCGTATTGATAAGGAGACGTGCTGATTAGTTTTTGCCAAAGGCAGGTC